AGTAGGACCATCTGTACTAGCAGAGCCACCAAGATGTCACTAAAAAGGTTTCAGCAGCATTAGGTTTGGAATTACAGTCCTATAGGCAGCACAGGACTTTTACAGAACTCATTTACATATAATTTCTTTTCTTTTTTTTTTGCGGAACCAGGGATTGAACTCAGACCCTTGCGCTTGCCAGGGAAGTGCTTATTCCACTGAGCCATCTCCCGGCCCCACATATAATTTCAAAATAAAAAAGGGGAGAAAAGACATCAAATCTTTTACCCTTTGAAAGGTGAAAGACCAGGACAGGACATGGTGGCATGGCTGTAATCCCAGCACTCGGGAAGCTGAGGCAGGAAGATCGTTGAGAGTTCCAGGCCAGCCTGAACTGCAGAGTGAAACCCTGGCCAAGAAAAAAAAGGGAAAGCCGGGCGTTGCAAGGCTTTGTCCATACCCGCTGGGGTCGCACGGCTAAGTTGAGCCCTCTCTTGCCCCTTCCCCAAGACGTGCCTGTCAACTGCACTTTTGGAGAAAGACAGTCGCCCTTAGGCAGAAGTCAGGCGACCTAATATGTCAAGTGACCTGGATTCTATTTCCTCATCTATAAAACAGGGCTGCAAAGAGCACCCGCCCGGTCTCTGGGATGAGACTGTATACACCCAAGCGGAGCTGGGGCTGTCCCTCTGCCAGCTGTCATCGCTCCCTTGCAGTTCAGCGCTCACTTCCCAGCAAGAAAACACTGCGAATGGACGACCTAAGGGTCCCTTCGTCCTTAAATTCTAGGGCGCTTTTTGAGAGAATTCCAGTTTGGGATGACAAGTCTCGATGCTCCATCCCAGCTCCCGGAGTTGAGCGGTGCCAAGACGCTGAAGCAGGAGGGCTCCAACAGACAGCCGCACCGCGGGCCGCTGTTCTCAGAAAGGCCTCCGACAGACCACGACAGCGCCACAGCCGCCGGCGACATCATCTACCTCAGCCGTCACCTCGGACGGCTGCAGGCGGCGCAAGCCCGGCGCTGACCAAGGAAACGCTGGACGGCGACCTCGAGGATCGCCGCACGCTGACCAAAGCCTCGCAGCAGCGCCCCCTGGTTGCGCCTCGAGCTGCTAGCGAGGAGCTTGGGGACACTAGTAGAGCGGCGTTTCGCGAGTAGAAGGCGCGGTGCTCATTTTCCCCGCCCCGAGAGAGGCTTCTAGCCAATCGGGGAACCCGAGCTGTCGTCTTGCCCACCTGTAGCGCGGGGGCGTGGTTTATCCTTTTAGCCAATCAGAAGAGAGATTCGTTCAAAGCGCACGCCTGCAGCTAGGAGGAGGAGGAGGAGGAGGGATTGCGGAGGTGGTTTCACTACCAAGATGGCGGCGAGCGGCGCACGCCAGGCTGCTGCTGCAGCCAGCACCTCTGTGAAGCCCATTTTCAGCCGGGACATGAACGAGGCCAAGCGGAGAGTGCGCGAGCTCTACCGCGCCTGGTACCGGGAGGTGCCGAACACTGGTGAGAGGCAACAGCGCACGCGGGGCTCCGGAGGCGGCGGCCCAAGGTCTCACCGGCCGAGCTGAGGTCACCTGCTGGGGCACTGGCAATTCAGGGTGCTTCCAGGGCAGCTGGCGGGTCCCCCGAGGCCAGACTGAGCCCAGGCTGACTGCGGCGCCTTGGCCCTCTGGAGCCATCTGTCCGCATAATCCTCCCAGAGCCCCTGGGAGCGAGAGCCGGGCTTGTTGGTGACAGCCGTTGGCAGGCGAGGGCCGCGAGAGGTGACGGGACGGGCCTGCGGCCCGACGATAGCCTCTGTCGGGTCTGGGCAGCCAGCTGTACCGTTCCGGGAAGTATTCGCGGCCGCCCATTTGGTTTTATGTAAGGCGGCTGTGCGCCTTAAGCCGTCGTCCGTTTCCCACGCGGGCTCCGCCCCCAGAAAAACAGCCAGAGAAGGAAGGTGACTTTCCCAGGTCGGCTCTCCCTGGGAGGTGGGCACCAAGCCTTGCTGCCTAGCTCCGCGCGCCTCGTATTTATTCCTCAGGAATTCCCCGCCGCCCCTGCTAGTCTTGCCCTATTGCCGTGGAACCCCTTCCATTCGTCTCTTAGGTGGTAGAGAACGGGTCTGTTCACCGGCAGGTTTGGTACATAAGCTCCCAGAATGCAAAATGTTTCTCTTTTTCTTTTTTTTGGGGGGGGGGAGGGGAGCGGCTGCGACTGTCTTTTTGAGACAGGGTTTCACAATATGTAGTTCAGGCTGGCCTTGAGCTCACTTTGTATCCCAGGTTAGTCTCGAACTTGCAGTGAGACCCTCCTGCCTCAACCTCCCAAGTGCTGGGATTACAGGCGAGCGCCACCACACGCTGCTCACAGATTCATCTCAACATCTCCTTCAGTGCTGTCTACTGTACTGGATGAAAATGGGCCATTCAGATGACCTATTTTGTAATTGTGCTGATTTGACTTCCTATGTTTTAACTTGAAGCATCACTCCTCCCTGAGGTGGACAGCGTGGTTGGAGTGTGACTTCCCTGCCTGCGTCTGAGGCAGACGGTGGTGATCTAGAGCCTGCACTTTCCCCAGGCGCTGCCCTTTACTGTGACCTGGGATATGCTATTTCATCTGTGCCTCAGCTTCCTCATCTGTAAATTGGAGAAAGAATAGTGTTTTCTGTGGAGAGCTATCATCTTAAATAGGTCAGCAGTGCATATCTAAAGTGCCTGGCATAGAGGCAGGCACCTGTTCAACACTTAAGTTCTGGTGGCTGCTCTTGTTGTTGTTTTTCGGAACCGGGGATTGAACTCAGACCCTTGCACTTACCAGGCAAGCACTTATTCTACTGAGCCATCTCCCCGGCCCCTGTTCTTGTTATTTATGCTGCTCATGGACTTAACCTAGGAGTCTCCAGACACAGAACAGTTTTTGTTTTATGAGAACTGTGCTCCTCTGAGTCCATCCTTGAGCTGACTTTCGGAGAGACTGCTAGTGACCCAAAAGACCCTCAGAGTGCTGAGAAGTAAGTGACCTGTTTGTGTAGGGGCTGCAAATTCAAGTGCTGTCAAGGACAGGCAGATGGCTGGTTGGGGGCAATGCAGAGATTAGCAGGGCCTGGTGGCATATGCCTGTAATCCCAGCCCTGGGAGGCTGCGGCAGGAAGATCGCTGAGAATTGAGACCAGACTGAGCTACAAAGTGAATTCAAGGCCAGCCTAAGCTGTATAGGGAGATCCTGTCTCAAAAAAACCACCAACAGCAATTAAAAACCAAAATGCTTAGCAGAATATTCCTAAGACCTAAGACTCCCTGCAACCTTATCTTGTTGCAGGAGGGAGAAGGGGAAAAAGAAGGGCAGAAGTGGTGGCTGAGTTCAAGCAGATCCAGGTATTGTGGTTTTGTAGAACCTAGCTTTTTACCATCACCTCACAGGACCTACTGTTTGGGAAGATAATTCCAGAATCAGAAGGGTCCCGAGAGAGGTGGACAAGAAGGTGTCAAAGTCTAGAGAGCAGGGGGAGAAGGCATGGGGTGAAGATCAGGCTGAGGAAAGATCAGTGGTCCCTAGTGAGTTAGGAGACCTAGGCCCCAGTGTATCAGGCTGCCGGTCAATGGAACTGCTGCTGACGGACAGACGGAATAAGTACTAGTGTTGCTGCTGCCATTCATGGAAATGCTGCATGTGACCCAGCACCATGCTAAATGCTCAAACAGGGCCTTATTTTAGGGTAGGTAGTTGCTCTGCCTTACAGGGGACAGGTGGGACATGTAAACTTGTGTGTATCACACCATTTAAAAGGGCCAGGTTTGTGGCCCTGACTTCAGTTCTAACACCTGGCTTTAGGGTGGGCAGGGTGCAGCTTAGCTGTTGGGCATGCGCTTAGCTGGTGTGAGGCCCAGAGTTCCATCCCCAGCATTCCTGCTGTAGTTTCTGAAGTTCTTGGGACCCAGTTTGAAAATGCTACATGCTGCTTGCTGGCCATAAAGTAACAGGCTTTCTAGAGAAACAGTTCATTTATTTAATTTCTGTTTCACTTTGTACTTCTTGTACTGCAGAGCCAGTACATGTCCACAGCAGTATAAAGTGAGTAAAGCACAACCTGTCTTCAAGGGTACCGAGGTCAAGCGAGGGAGCTGGACATACAAGCAGTTAATTACACCTCAAGTATAACTCAAGGGTGGAGGAAACATGCTGACATTTTTAACCAACATATGTGTCATGCTTTTCTAGGTGTTCTCTCACTTGATTTTCTACCATATTCCTGGTAGAGAATATTACAGGTGAGAAAACAGGCCAACAAGGCTGTGCCCCGGACCGAGTCCCAGTTCATACTGATCTCGAGGTTTCTGAGACCCTGTGCTTTCCTCTGCCTCCCGAGGACCACACACCAGTGCTGGCACAAGTTGTGCAGAGGCAGAGAACTGTGTGGTGCCATCCCTCCAAGTCTGTCACAGTCACTTTCCCAGCCTATAGGTCCATCTTCTTTTTGAGCCTCTCAAATGATTTCAAGTTGAAACTTAAATACACTCAGGCTTCAGAAAATAAGCCAGGAATGCAGTCTGTGAGCTGAGAAAGAAAAGTTGGATTTACACCAGGACTTCTCAACAGCTGCCTTAGAGCTCAGAACTCTTTGTTGTGCAGGGCTATTCTGTGCTTTGCATGTTGTTAACATTCTTGGCATCCACCTTTGAGAGGACAGTACCATTCTCCCTTTGGTTGTGATTACCCAAAATGCCTCCAGGCACGACCAGGAATTCTGGGGGACAGAATCATCACTGGCTTGAGAACTACGGCCTTTAGGCAAAGGCATAAATCAGCAGGCAATAGCCAAAGTGTTTCCAAGTACCTTGCCCCAGCCTCTTGCTGGTGGAGCTATGTGTTCAGGGGGTTGGAATGGCAGGGCCCAGCCTGGGATGGAAATAAGGAGTCTATCAGTAGAGAAAGCCTTCTTAACCCGGGAGGAGAGGTGCTTGGGATTTGTTACTTACTGAAAAGTAGGCACGGGGCTGGTGAGATGGCTCAGTGGTCTAAGGCACCTACTTAGAACAAGCTTGGCAAAGCACAGGGACCACAGTTCAATCCCCCAGCACCACATGCCAGCCAGCCCTGCCCCCTGGTGGGCTGAGCTGGCCACACACACAATAAATAAATAAATAAATAAAAAAGAATTATTAAAAAAAAAAAAAAGTAGGCAGAACTTTGCAACTGTGCTTCTGGATTCCATCCCACCCTGTACTGAGGATGGAACTGCAGGGTCTCAGGCATGCTAGCCAAGCAAGTCTTCCAACACTGAGCCATGCTGCATATGGAAACATCCTGGTGTAAGGCTGAGGAGGTCATGAGGGATGGGAGCCCCCACAGGTAGGCTGGAAGAACCTTGCCTTTTCGCTTCCAAGATTGGGCAGGAATCTGATATAAAAATGCAGGAATGACGAGCATTGATAGAGGGGACGATTCCTCTTATTTCTCTCCCTAAATCAGCAAGAGATTAGAAATAAAGCATGTTGGATCCCAGGACCCAGTTGTGTCATTTTGAGCAGTTGCCCACAGTGCTTTAGGCCTCTTCCCAAGGGGTTTGTAAATTCCACATTCCATAGTAGCTTGCTTTTGTTTTTGTGTCTGTCATCTCATTGCCCCTTTTCTGCAATCCCTAAGACTGACCTTGGTGACTGCTCTCTGGGAGGAAAACCCTAAATTCGTAGTCTGCCAATTCCCATGGTATAGATATGCCCACCACTGTTGATTATAAGCTGGAAAAGTCAAGGCCAGTATTGGAAGAGATGTATGTAATTAACTGTCCATGTGAGCCTGCTCCTGTGCCCTGGTCACCAGTATTTTCAATTAAGTGGTTCTGTGTCACTAATGTTTACCTGAGCTGGTTCTCCTATTAGCTTTCTATTACTTCTTCCCTGGTTGGAACAGAAATCTTATTTTCTTTGCATGATTTTCCCCAACAGCAACTTTATTTTTTCCATTTCCCTTATGGGTATAATGAAAGATTCACTTTATAGTTGATGGATTCATTCACTGAACAGTTGTCATAGTATTTAGAGCTGGTTGTGATGGTACTGTAGACTAGACTGGACATGTCACAGGAGTAGCAATATCCCATTTTTTCTGGTGCTCATTTAGGGACATACTAGGAATCCCCTCCTGTCAGTGCCAGTCACAGTGGGCACACAAAGTATCCTCAGCAAAGGACACACTGGTCCCCTGACCACAATACTGTCTTGCCTGTGTGCCTTGTTGTGCGGTCCTGTGGGCTGAGTGTACCTTGTACCTGTCCTTAGTCCACCTACTACACAGGATCTTGCCATGCCCGTCCTCAGTAGGTCCACTGAAGGCTGAGTGCCACAAGAGGGTCACAGATGGTTAAAGGGTAGTTTTCCAAGGATACCCATATGCCTCTTTTGTCATGTGAACTTCAGGGTCATGAGGTTTGTGCCACTTATGAGGTCTGTGATAACTGCTGTTATTTATGGTTTGTTAGTAATCAGGGGTAGCTGTCCCTCCCATCAGAACTGTACATGTATCTCTTCTTCCCTGAGGAATGCTGGCTGAAGTGAAGTCTTCCTCCACAACCCTTAGCACCACTCCTCAGCTCCTGTGGTCATGTGGTACTGACAGCCTGGGCCATATCATTTTACATAAATTCAACCCTCATGTGTTGCTGAACACTCCATTTAAAAAATGGCAACAGTGGGATTGCTTGGGGGTAAGACACTTGACCAGCACATGCAAGGCCTTGTATGTGAACCCCAGCACTGCACATAAAAGAAAAAGAAACCTAAACTGTGTTTTTCTCCTCCTTCATGTGCAGTGGTCTTTTCTTGCCCCTTAAAAAAGAAAACCTCAGTGAACCTCAGCTCACACTTCTTCACACCCTCAAGCACAAAGCTCAAGGCCGGGCTAACATCTGGTAGAAAAGTCAACAAGTGATTTTGTGTTTGTTGACTTTGGTTTTTAAAAACATGTTTTAACTGAGTACGTTCTACCCTGAATCATGTTTTCTCTTTAGTGACCCTATTCCAGCTAGACATCCCTGTAAAACAGGGGCGGGATAAAGTCCGAGAAATGTTTATGAAGAACGCCCACGTCACAGACCCCAGGGTGGTTGATCTTCTGGTGATTAAGGTAACTGACCCTCCAACTTAACAGATCGGCCAGCTCGTCCCAGGCTTCTCACTCTTCCCAGATGGGACAGTTTGTCTCCAACTTTAAAAACCAGATACTGGTTTAGCAACTTAGCTGTGTGTTCAAAAGAGTAAACCTGGAGAGTATCACCTGATCATAAAGATTATAAGACTGTTGAAAGAGAAGCCAGGCATGGTAGCACATGCTTGCACTCTCAGCGCTCTGGGAGACTGAGGCAGGAGGATCACAAGTTCAAACTGACCTGAGCCACTTAGCAAGAGCCTGACTTAAAAAAGGCTGAGGATGTAGCTCAGCCATAAAGGGGGAAAATGATTTGTAAAGGGAAAAGCACTGGGAATTGCATTTTAGAACTAAAAACCCACTCTGAAGAGGAAAGCTGGGATTCTTAAACCCCAGCCCTGGAAGTTGGATGCCAGCTTATAGCTGGAGAGCAGGTGGGTTAGCTGATTCCTGTGTAATGAGGCAAGTCACAGGCCTGATTTCCTGTGTCCCCGGCCACATTAGCACCAAAGGATGTTTTGGTGTGGACTACTAAACAGCCTGGAAGAAATGGTTAAGCAGGCCAGCCTGGCGCTGCATTTATAGGCTCTGCTAACCTGCAAGTCTCTCCTCTCCTCTCCAAGTTAACTGTGGCATTAGAGAATATTTAATCAGCCTCAGGAATCACAGAGCTGTGCTTCCCCTTTTCCAGATGCATACATTTGTCTAGGCAGGGCTGCTACTTACCCAGAGTCACTTAGCAAGAGAAGATGGAACTCTGGCCTTCAGCATTGATTTCTTCAGCTTGGCCACTTTGCCTGACCACCTCTTCCCTCATTTCTTTAGGGAAAGATGGAACTGGAGGAAACAATTAAAGTGTGGAAGCAGCGGACACATATTATGAGGTTCTTCCATGAAACAGAAGCACCAAGGCCAAAGGATTTCCTGTCCAAGTTCTATGCTGGCCATGACCCATAAAGCCGCTCAGTGGAAAGGTGCATGTTATTTAATTATTAGAGTACAAATAAATTTTCCATATGACAGTCACTTCATAATAGAATTCCATTGGTAAAACAGTTTTCTGTGGTCTCTCACTTTGCCTGAACAAATGGGGTCTATGTGTACACACCACCTGCTCGCTCACTCTTCTTGAAGGGTGGCATTTGCTGCAAATCCTGTCTTCTCAGAGCCTTGCACATCAGGATAGGAGAAGGCTGAGGCCATCTGTTCAGGAACCATCACAATGGGTATGAGGCTGGTGACTCGTAGTCCTACAGCCTAGCAGCGTGTAGACACAGAAGTGCAGCTGACACTGTGGGCTGGTTTCCCTGGAGTCCTGAAGGAAATGCATATTCACGGCCTTAGCTGTGCTCCTTGCAACAAATGAACTTACTTTCCCAATGGGTACAGTAGCAGACAACTGTAATCCCAGCTACTTGGCTGGCAGAAGCCAAGTTTGAGACCAGCCCGGACAACTCGGCAAGACCCTGTCTCAAAAATCTTAAAAGGTTTGGGAAAATAAGATAACAGGAAATAGGGAGATTGATCTTTTACAAATGAGAAGGGGCCCAAGAGATGAGAGAGGTGAGAAAAGCATTAGAATGTGTTACGTACACATATACCAACTCCCCACAAGGAATTTAATTATGTACCACAACGTATTAATTTTTAAAAATTTAAAAGGGTTGGTGATGGAGCTTACGATAGTGCTTCTCTAGCATTGCACAAGGCCTTAGGTTCAATCCAGTAATAAAGAAAAGTCCTCATTAGGCTACTAGGGCACAGCTGTTCAATTCAGTGCACGCACACAGCAAAACAGCAATAGCCTATACCTGGAGTTTTGCAAACTGCTATACCTGGAGATTCAACATCAGTCAGATTCGAGAGCTAACCTGTCCGCTTTGGATGGTTGTCTTTTCTGTCCTTCCCAGGTCAGTGGACATGCTGGAGAAAGGAGCTCAGTGTCTATAATCACACTGAGGGGTCCCAAATTTTTCAAAACCCAGCATACCCCCCGCATTGTTCTTTCCCCTGAGGGGCTCAAGTTTTAAAAACTATGGTGAGATTTTAGTATCTGTAACCAGTCAGTGCCCCTCATGGTTGGCACATGGCAACCCATATTACTGAACACACACAAAGCTATAGAGTTGGGTGTGGTGGCACACACCTATAATCCCAGCACTTAGGAGGCTGAGGCAGAAGGTGGCTCAGTTCAAAGTCAGCCTAGCAAAACCCTGCCTTTAAAAAAGCCGGAAGCTCTAGTTAGCCTGTGCAGCGCTGAGAGGAGTTTTTGCTGGGTTTGGGTGAGGGGGAACCCACAGGCCCCTTAACTCCATGGATCCGCAGGGCCTAGATAATGGATTGAGAAACATCAGCCTGCTTTTAGACACAGCTGATGTTTATTAGGTTATTTATAATTTGACTACTTTTTTTCTCAGTACTTAGTGGAGAACATCTTAAGGAAGGAGCCTTCCAGAGCCTCGAGATCTGGGCTGCGGTCACAGACTGTGCAGGAGGCAGGCTGAGGGCCTTCCAGGAGCCCTTCAGTTGAAAGGGAAGCAGCGGCCCCCAAAGCATCACCATTCTCGCAGCTGGTGCTTGCTTGCTTGCTTCTTTCTCTACTTCTGCTCTTCCTGAAAGAAAGGAAAGCAACAGTTCTCCAGGCACACAGTGCAAGTTTTGTGGGGTGCTTCTCCCAAACATGGCAGCTCTGAATAGCTCTGATTACTGACATGCACTGGACACTGACCATAGTTCTGGGACCAGGAGCCCCAGGTACAAAAAAGTTCCATGCCAGCAAGAAGCACACAGGCCAAATTTTGGTGTGTGATCGTGCATGTGTGTGTGTGTGTGCGCGCGTGTGTGCATGCGCACTTTATAATGGCAGCAGTAAGAAAGGTCATTGAGAGGAAGCAGCAGTCACTCAGATGGAAAGACAAAGGAAGACTTCCTCAGAGACACTGAAGAATGCAAGTGAAGACGGCTGTTGGAAGAGCAGTGAGTGCCTGGGATGGATAACAGTGAGGGTGACTCAAGGAATAACAGCGGGCCTGTGATCCCAAGTACTCAGGATCAAAAGTCTGAGGCCAGCCCTCTAAAATATAAAAAGGGCAAGGGAAGTGGCTCTTGGGAGGGCACTTGTCTAGCAGGCAGGAAGCCCTGGGTTCAGTCCCTAATACTATTCAAAACAAAACAACCCTGGCAACAGTTCACTCTGACAACAAAGAAGGCTTGGCCCTCTCAGGTATTTCCTGAGGTTAAGAAGTATGACCACATTCATGGCAAACCTAAATGCCAGACGAAGGTGCCTGGGGTGTCCTTATCTATGACAGCAGCACTGTGGGGCAGCACATGTTAGAGTGGGAAGAAGCTGGGCCTCCAGGGAGCGGGGGCATGTGCAACGTACCAACCCTGACCCCATGCACAGGCTGTACCAGTGCAGCGCTTGGCAGAAGAGTGCAGCTGGCGGAGGTGAGGGCCTGCCCATGTCCGCACCCCAGGATGGAGCCTGAGCTGAAGCAGTTAGGGTGGGAGTGTTCTGCGCATCAGACTGTCATGAAAACGTGAGCTGACAATTAGGGTGCATCTGAGGCTCCTGAGACGCTGGCTGCTCAGATCTTGGCTCGGCTTAAGAGAGCCCAGGGAGTTTCTAAGTCAGTTAAGTTACCCTCATCCAATGTAAAAAGCACTCTCACCCAGTGGCCAATTCAGCACCGCAGCACTTGTGTGTGCCCTGCCAGGCACTGCCAGGCCAGGATGGCTCACAGGCCCAACCTCCACCGCCCTGTTCCCATCCAGGAGGGGGTAAGCTGGGGGGATTGGGAGGGAGCCAGGTCCTACCTTAGTCATCATCATCGTCATCCTCTGGGACAAAGATATCATGCTCCTCCAGCAGAGCCGCGAAGTTCTTGCTGATGAGCGTCCCAACATAGAGAAAGGGGATCACAATGGAGAACACACGGAGAAGACCGAAGGACATCTGCAGGTCAGAGTGGTGGCGGTGAGCCCCAGAGCCCACCTGGGCAGGACCACACAGGGCCTGGCCCTCCTGAGGCCAACTCCTGTGAGCCCCGACCCATCACAAGCAATTTGATTTTAAGCCCTTTGAAAAATTTCAGAGCAAGAAAAATAACTATAAGATCATGTGATTTTTGTGGCCATCCAAACTGTTACCAGAAAGAAAAATGTAAAATATCCTAGACATTTAAAAATTAAGAACAATCTGCTAATCACTTGCATCAGGTGAATACTGAGGGCTGAACTATGCTCAGCTCTACTTGAATACACTGCATCCATGAAAGTCCCAGAAAGTGAAGGAATATTCTCTAGTTCCATGATGCCTGAGAGATTTGACTTAACATTAAATTTTAGAAATAGGTGTATTTGAAAATCGAGGATGTCTTTTTAAAGAAGACTATTAAGACAGAATGGAGAAGTGTCAGTAAAACCTCACCAAACTCTCCCAGGAGTTTACCCCCAAAAGAATTTTTTAGCAGTTCCCTTTTCTAAGGCGGCTGCTGTGAAACTGACCCGCAGTCAAGTCTGTCAGCATAAGTCAAACTAAGTTTCAAATAATTTGTTCTTGCTTTTTACTTCTCACACAGACCTGCAGTGAAAAAACAAACCTCTATTTGATATACGGTGTAGTCTCCATTTTCCTTAGACCCAAGAGTCGCGAGGCCAAGGAGTAGCATTCAGTGGTGGAAAGAAATTGCACCCGAAAAAAAAAGAAAGAAAGTGGGGCCGGGACATGGCTCAGTAGAATAAGCGCTTGCCTGGCAAGCGCAAGGGCCTGAGTACAATCCCCGGTTCCGCCAAACAAAAACAGAAACTGCACCCCATCAGGGTTGTGCGACCTGACTCAGTCACTAGTTTCACCATGGCCCAGTTCATTTGTAAAAACTGCTTGCCATAGTTCCCACACACCTCTCAGGACTGTACGTCACATGAATTAAATAGGTTACAATTAAAAAAATAATAAGGTCCCGTCCCACCTTCTCATTATTTACAAACAAGTCATTATCTCATCCGTCAACTGTGAAGCACCCAGAGATTTGGACGTGGTTGTCTAAACTAAATGCATAACACAGTCTCCACAACTCAGTGGCATCGGGCATCACACCCCTTACGGTAAAATACAAGGTCTGCCCTTGTACAAAATACAAGGTCTGCCCTTCAACTTCCGCCGCCAAGGTCCCTGTTCAACACCGGCTTTTTAACCTTATTCTCCTACAGGTAAAATTTAATAACCTATTAGTGCAAAGAATTGTCCTTAGTCCGCCTTCCATTCTATAGAGAGCCTATGATTGGTCTCTGCTCCTGTCAGTCAACGTCGTCCTGCACTCACTCCTCACAATGATTGGCCTCGGCCCCTTCGCCCCGCCTCCAGGCACTCACTTTCACCGGTTTGGGCAAAATGGCGCCGCTGCGGGTAACGATGACTGACCTCGACGATATCAGGCTCCGACCTGAACCGCCCCGTACGGCCGCTACATCACCACCTTTCCTCAAGTTTGCCCCGCTCCGGAAAGCTCCAGATCGGAAGGTTCCCAAAGTCAGCCAGCAAGCTACTCCGGATGCCATCTTCCAGTTCCGCCCCTCACCCTGGCACGCGCACCCTGCCACTCGGCCCCGGCGCCGCCTTCACGAATGGCTCCGCCCAAATCTCGCGATGTTGTGGGTGACCCGAGAACCCCATCCTCACACTAGCGCAGTGCCCGCGCTTCCTGTGGCGGTGGGAAAGAGCGGCGTGTTACTCAACCCACGTGATGAGGTCAAGAGCACGACGCCGACGCCCACTTCCGCCTCACGCACCCGCCATCCAGAATACTATTGAAATAAAAAAAGGAACCGAAAAGAGCAGTAATGGAACACTTCAGGGTTTGAATCGTGTTTAAAAAAAATACAAGAAGAAAGCTAACCAGTGCCTGTACGTGTGCGCGGGGCTGTGGCTGCGGGCTGGCAAACGAGCCTAGTGGAGGTTTTGCCACTAAGAAACTGGATTTCTAAGGAGCCTGCCCCTTAGCTCAGCTGTGTAAGTGCCTGCTGAAACAAAGCAGTCAGGCTCAGGATGCTGTGTTTCGATCCCCACATCCTACCAGACCTGCCCTGAAAGCATCCTGAACCCGCCAGAAAAAAAGAAACTGGATTTCCGGCCTTAATTCAGTTGCGACTTCTGGTGGTGTCCATAGCTGTGGCCATCTTCCAATGGCCCATGCTTTTAATCCCAGCACTTGGGAGGCTGAGGCACAAAGATTGTTCCGAGTTCGAGACCAGCCTGGGCTACAAAATGAGCTCAAGGCCAGAATGAGCTGCATAGTAAGACCCTATCGCAAAAAAATAAAAGTAAATAAATAATAACAATTTTAAAAAACTTTAGTGTTTATTGTATTTAAAAAACACTGTAACGGTAAGAAAGATAACAAAGGCTTCAATATCCATATAAAATAAAGTGCAGTGGATTATGTGGGTCCCATACAAGACTGGGAAAGAAGTTGGGTTGGACAGGAACCTGCGCAGGGCCCTGGGCAGTTTCAGCCTCCTTGTGATGAGGAGAAATCTCAGTTTTAGGCCTACTTGGATCCTCATCTGGCTGCCTCGGGCCCCAATAAGCAAAGGAAAGGCCTAGGTTTTGTGTTTGGGGGAAGAGGAAGTCTCATCCCACCAGCAATTACTGCCACAGCTGGAGGCTGGCTCCAGCTTCTTGCCTCTCAGAAGAACACACGGCACAGTGCTAGGGCGAATCAGTGAGGGTTCTTGGCAGGTAAACCTGGAGAGACACAGGCCTGGGCCAGGGTCCCCAGACAGTAGGTTTCCCCTGAAGTTTCGGGAGTAAGAACACTTTTATGGGACCCCTGCTGGGAGAGAAGAGTTTACCATAGGCTACTGAGAATCCTGTGTCCAAACTTATAAAATTCCCAGAACTGAGAATCAAGGAAACAAGCTGCCTTTCTTGGGGAGCCACCGACCTCCCCAACTCCCTAACTTCTGGCCTGGCAGTGACAAAAGCTGGCAGCGGAGGACAGGACAGGAAGGGTTTCTGTTGGCTTCTGAAAGCTCACAGTCCCTGCTGGGCCATGTCCAGCACCATCTATGGTCAGGACATCCAGGGAGAGTGGGAGAAATGAAAGGAATCTTTTTTATGGACAGAAGGCCCCCTCCTCCAAGAGCTCTACCCAAACTACAGTGGGAGTCTCAGCTCACTCTTCTCACCCCCAGAAAGAGCTGGCCCCAGGACCTCCTCTGACAGACATGGATCCACTTTCTCAGATAATGCACAGCCAGCCTCTGGTAATTTAAATGCACACAAGACTCCCTATGTTGGAAATCATGGTCATAGGGTCCAATGTGCAGGTCAAAGGTGGGCCCACTTCCTTGATGTCCAGCGCAGGGTCCCACAGCCACCCTTCCTCCCTGGGTCTCAGGAAACAGAGGTTGGCAGTCATGGTTCGTCAGCACTCTCCGCACACAAGGACAGACAGGAAGCTGGAGGAGGCCTACAGAGCAAGAGGCAGCGAACAACCCCACACGTGCCCCCATCCCACCCCAGCAAAGCAACCCTGCGAATGAGTAAACATTTAACTCCTGAAGAAGACTTGGCCCCGGTGTCCCAACCAGCAGGACATGACCAGAACTCATAGGGCCCAGGCTCAGGGCTCATCCTGTCGCTTGCATCCCGCTTGATTGCCCCTGTCCCTCTGCTGCCACTCCTGCCTGAGCTGCACTATCTCCTGGCCATACCAGTCATGCAGGGTAGAGAAGCAGGAGGTCTCAGGGGACACAGGACTCTGCCCCCTGCCCAGGAGGAGGCTGGTGGGGCCCTGCAACTCCCACTCTGGCAGATCCCGTGCTCCTGGTCTGCAGCCTCCTCCTTCCCCTGCACCCACAGGGCTGCAGTCTCTGGGAAGAAAGTGACCATTTTCCAGGCCTGAAGATCTGTGGTCAGAGGCCTGCGACTTTGGGCGGCTGGCACCGACCTTCTGGGACATACTGCGATGCAAGGCCAGGCTCCTGCGGGCATCATGCAGTTGGCTCTCCAGCTCACGTACCACCAGGCGCATGTAGCCAAAGCTGGCCCGAGACAGAGCCTTCACCCAGGCCTCCTGGGCTGCCTGTCCATCTGCAGCCAGCAGGTGTGGGCGCACTCCAGGGGCATTGAAGCGGATGGCGAAGGCAAACTCCTCGGGTACCGGAGCCTCGGCCAGCTCCACCGTGCAGCCTTCAAGCACCACCAGGCTCAGCGGGGCCCGGGCCTCACGACTCTCGAAGGAGAACAGCAGGTTGCCCTTAAGAACAAACCAGCATCTTCTGCCAGTGCCGCTGGGGGTAGGGGGCGTCCCTGGGGCCCCCCAGGTACGCAGGAAGCCCATATGGTCTGCTGGGGAGTCACTCAGGGCGTAGTGGGCCACACTCCTCTTGTTCAGCTTCATGGTTCCCAGAACTGAGAGGTGAGGGAGGAATCAGTGCATCAGAGAGGGAGGCAGCGCCAGTGGGGAAGGGCCCACCGGGCCTTGGGCCCCTGCTCTCCCGCTCTGCTCCCGGGCTCCTCCTTTTCACTGTGAAAGGGGTGAGTCTTCCCAGTTTGTGCTCCCAAAGAGATGTTGAGGGTCACACAAAAAACTGGACATCAGCTGGCCCGGTGGTACACACCTGTCATCTCAGCAGCCTGGGAGGCTGAGGCAGGAGGACTGAAAGTTTGAGCCCAGCCTAGGCAATGCAGGAAGTCCCCGTTTCAAATTTAAAAATAAAAAGACCTGAAGATGAAGCTCAGCCCTTCTTGGATTCAAGCACCAGCACCCACCCATCTATTCCCCCTTGCCCAAAAAAAAAAAAAAAAAAAAAAAATTGGATTATAGAATATTCAGGAAAAAGGAGGCCTGGGAAATAGTTCAGTAGAATAAGTGCCTGCCTGGCAAGCTCAAGGTCCTGAGTTTAATCCCCCATACCGCAAAAAAAAAAAAAAAAAAAGCATATTCAGGAAAAGATAATGTTACTATATCCGGCCAGGAGGCTTGGCAAGGCCTCAGGGTAGCTTTCTTCTAACCTGTTTTCTTTAAATGTTTTATTAGTGCACGTTTCCCATACATGATGGTTACATTCACTGTGAGGAGCTATATATGGGCACAACACAGCTTCATTCTTTTTATGTCCCCTTCCCCTCCTCTCTCTCTCCCCCTCAGTGTGGATTTTAAAAACCCAAATAAACGAAGTAAACGCACTTGGCACTCTGGGAGACAGAGGCAAGAGGATGAAAAGTTTGATCCAGCCGGGGCAATGGAGGGAGACCCTGTCTCAGGAAAAAAAAGAAAAAATCAAAGTGCTGGGGATGTCACTCAGTACAAAGGCACTGGGTTCAACCCTCAGGATTAGAAAAAAAAAATTTAGAGAAACAGAAATAGAGGGCCAGCGAGATAGCTCAGTGGATTAAGTGCCTGCCTGGCAAGTGCAGGGACCGGGGTTTGATCCCTGGCACCACATGTCAAGCCAGCCCTGCCCCCGGGTGCACTGAGCAGGCCCCTGAGACTAGGTATGGTGGCACAAGCCTATAATCCCAGGCCTGGGGAAGCTGAAAATAGGACGATCACTAGGAGTCCAAGCTATGTAATGAGACCTGTACCAAATACATAAAAAGTAAAAAGAAAAAAGAAATGGATCCCTGCTGGGCTGAAACAGACCCCAAATTTCAATGGCCCCTAAGCTGGGGGCCTCTCCTCGCTGAGGACAAAGATCCAGGCTTTCCATAATGTCCCTGGGCCTCCAGTGGCCGCTCCGAGGGGTTCAGCATTATCGTTCAGGGAAAACCTGCAGCCTCTGGAGACAGGTGCAGCCTGGGCAGGCGGTCGGAAGCACTCTGTAAGGAAGCGTATGAGGCCAGCCGGCTGGGGTTCAGCTGAGGACAGCCACAGCCTCCGACTCTGGTGCCCCCAGGCCCCTCCATGACACCTCATCCAACTGTCCTTGCTCGTGGACAACGGAGGGGAGGAGCGAAGGCGCAGTAGGGCCAGTGAGGGCTGCACTTGGCCGCATCTTTGGGGTCGCACTTACCAGAGAGCTCCGGCGCGGGGGTGGGGGCGGGGCCTCTCGTCAGGGGGTTCCAGGGAGGCTGCAAGACAGTCCTCAAAGGATGAGAGCTCGCACCGCCTTCTGTGCAACTCCCCAACTCCTGCAGCCCCAGGAAGGCGCCCCTCCTGCCCCACCCCCTCCTCCAGGGCCAGGCCCCCACGGGGTGCTGGGTCCTGGGGTCCTGACCTTTATGCTTCAAACCTCAGCTTCCTGCCCCCAAGGTTGGGTCACAGTGACACCCTCATACTGCTTTCCCTTCTAGTCCTGTCACAGTTTATTTGTGGGCTTTAATTTAAATCACCTAATACTCAGAGAAACCTAGTCTGATCACCGTAGCCAGGGCGGCCTGATCGAAGGTCACTGACCAGCAGTCACCTTGTCTCGGGTCTTCTTGCCTTCATTCCACAATGATCTGCTGTTTTTTGGTTTTGGGTGGTTTTTTTTTTTCAACAGGGTCACGTTACGTTCAGGATGGCCTTCAACTCGTTATGGAGCCGAGGCTGGCCTCAAACTTCCAGAACTCCTCCTGCCTCAGCCTCCCAGACCCTGGGATTACAAGCTTGCACCGCCATGCTGGGCTCCCAGTGACCGCCTTCCTGTTTCCTCGGCGGCTCCCAGCTCCAGTGTCTAGGGCCAGGCTTGACTGGGCTTTTAAAGGTACCTTCAGTGTCCAGTACCTTAGCAGATATGTGTTGGATTCATGCTTCCACATCAGCGTACACAGCAAAGTCCTCCACCCTTGGGGAGCTGAGACGGGGATGGGGAGGTGTGACACGAAGTAAGCAAACAAAAACAAACAACTAGTGGCTAGGCATGGTGGTGCACCTGCCATCCAGCCCTTTGGGAGGCTGAAGCAGGAAGGTTCCAAGTTTGAGCCCAACCTGGGCCATTTAAGTGATGTAGCAAGATCCTATCTCAAAATAAAAAAAAAATAAAAAAGGGCTAGGGGATGTAGCTCAGTGCAAAGACCCTGCGCTCAATCCCTGTACCTGAAATAATAAAGTGAATAAAACAATAATTAATAAAACAATAACTAGCTAGGCATGATGTAATAACAGCTCTCAGGAAGCAGAGGCAGGAGGATCACTGCGAGTTGGGGGCCAGTTTAGCCCACTTAGTAAGTTCAAGGCCAGCCTGCACTGCAAAGCGAGACCCTGTCTCAAAAACAAAAACGAAAAAGAGGAAAACAATAACGGAGATCCCGGTGTCTACGGAGGGAAAGCAGCAGGCCCTGGGGCAGGGCGGGGCCGCCTCCGTGCAGCCGCCCAGGAAAAGCGAGGAGGAGGCGGCGGCGGATTCCCGCCGGGACCCACGCCGCCCGGGTTCTTCCGCTCCGGGGCCGCCCGCTGGGGCCGTGGGGCCGTGGCCTCGGCCGCTGCACCGAGATCGCCGCAGCCCGGCCCGCGTCCGCGGCTCCCGCCACGTCCCCGCCACCGCCGCGGCTCTCACCTCCTGCGCCCCGGCTCGGCTCGGACCCGCGCTCCGCCAACGTGGCTGAGGGAGCCCAGACCCCGCCCGAGCGGCTCGGGTTACCGCCCGGCCCCTCCCCGCCGCGCTCACCAGGCCTCGGGAGCCGTGAAGACGCCTCTAGATCCACGCAGGAGGGAAACTGAGGCCCAGGCGTGGGGGCCCGCCTGAGCCACAGAGCGGGTCCGTGGAGGGGCGGTGTCGAGCCTGGGCCCCACCTCAGGCTGTCCCTCGGCCTCCCACCCAGCCCACCGCTGGAGAATTCCAAGAATCCTGGAGAATTTGGAATCTTCTTTCCCCGCCCTGGCCCTTTTGTCCCGCAGAGCCAAAGCGGGCCATCTTTTGGCCCAGAAGCCACTTAAGAGCGAGCTCCTACACAGCCTGCAAAGCCCAGAAGAGCTACCTAACCAGGCTCCTCCCTGCCTCAGGAGCTTATCTCCCCCAGCAGGCCGTGGCCCCAGGCCCTGCCGGGAGTTGGTGGAGATGCCTAGGCCCCTGTACGTGCCGACAGCAGGAAGCTGGGGGTGCCACAAGCCCTGGAAGCTCCTGGGCGCCTACATCCCTTGTTAGCTTGAGTTCCTGCCTCAGTCTTCAGCTCTGCAGTTCGTGCAGCCTGCGCTGCTCTGCCGGCTCATCCAATAAACTTCCTCATGCTGGTGCTTTTGTTTCTTGTGCCTCTCATTAAATTTCGTTCCATTAGGAATCTAAGCTATAATAAATGACAGAAACTGTAATACATTGAGTTGTGGGAGTCAGGAGGTTGTTTTTGTTCCTGTTTTGGTGTTTTTGAGACAAGACCGGGGTGGCCTCAGAACGGTGATCCCCTTGCCTCAGCCTCCCTGAATTCTGGGGTTGCAGGTAGTTTCAGTTTTAAGTAGAATCAGAACCTGACGCCAGGAGGACCCAGTCAGACGGCCCTGTCCTTTCTGCCTCTGATGAAAGTATTCAGTCAAGACACAGGCCGCTGTGCAGAAGTCTAGTCAGAGTTTATTGGAAAGCAGATCCAGACAAGAAAGTAGACAGTGCCGCACGGCCCCTACAATGAAGGTGGATTTGTTGGGGTTTTGTTTTTTGCCTTTCCATCTTTTATTACTGCAACAGCTTCATGTTTTATTTAGCCTTCTGACTCTGTGCTTGAGCCTTCACCACTTTCACCACGATTTTCTGCTCTTCAATAAGGAAAGCGCGCTTGATCCTGTCGCGGACACACATGGAGCCCCCATAAGCCCCGCTGACGCGCTTCTTCGTCTTAGACAATCTCGTAAGAACTTTAGGCCGCACAGCTCGAACCCCTCGAAGTCTGCCTGGGCATACATCACATGCAGATTTGGGGGCCTTCCCACCCTTCTTGGTATAGAGGTAAACAGTTCTATTCCCTGGGGTTCGGGACAGCCTCGTTTTGTTGGAAGCAGTGTTGTAGGAAAGCCTACGACGGTACATCAGGCGCTGGACCATCGTGAAAGCCTAAACTCCAGACACCGCACCCGCAAGAGCTGACGGTGGATTTGGGTGTCGTTTTACGTGCAGGAAAGTCATTTCTGGGGCGCAGGGAACTCTCATGATCCCAGTTTTAATACACTGTGTATGCTGTAGGCTCAGCAACATTTTTCTTAGGGGATGCTTCAAAATGGCAAGATCCTAAAATGTCTTCCTTGTTCTTTTCAGAGGGTCAGTGTTACCTCAGGGGCCTTAATTACATAAGAAACTTCCAAGGGGCTGACGATTTAGCTCAGCAGTACATTCTTGGTACCAAAAGAGAGAGACAGAGACAGAGAGAGAGAGAGAGAGAGAGAGAGAGAGAGAGAGAGAGAGAGAGAGGAGAGAGCCGGGGCATTCAGGAACCCTGAGGGCCTTGTTCTGGAAATAGCCAGCCAGGTGGCCAGGTCGCGGGGGGATGTGGGCAGTGTGCACCCTTAAATGCCCCAGTTGTCTGTGGGATGCTCTGAGACCTGATAAGTGGCCATAAGTGTATTCTACACTGAGGGCTTCATGTCTTCATTTAACTACAAAACTGGCACAATTACTATTTTGGATCCCCTTGTCCCTCGAGGCTGCTGATGTCTAAACTGCTTGCAAAACTGAATGGTCAGGGTAGATTCACTGAGAATATAGCATTATTTGAGAGGATGTTTGAAAGAAATAGCTTGTGGAAGAGCACTGCAGGCAGAAGGAACAGTTGGTGCAAAGGCCCTGGGGCTGGTTGTGGTTCAGGAACTGAAGGCAGCCAACCTGGGAGGAGGGGTGAGAAGAGACCAGCCAAGATCCGGGACCAGAACGGGTCAGCTGGGGCTTTGTAAAGCAACGAGGGCTTTTACTCCAGACTGGTGCTCAAGGGAGCCGACTCCCAACTTGTTAGATGGCCGAGTTCCTGACCCATGATACCAGCGCTGATGCATCAAGGACAAAGGAGGTGAAGAGTGGGGAAGGTTTACTGAGAACAAGCGGAGATAGAAGGAGGGGGTCCTGGAAGTGGGTTGCTGTGGGGCTCTTTGTCTAGGGGTTTATACAGTGACATCACAGGTGACCCGCGATCGGTGTAGTAAGGCTGCGGGATTGCAAGCACAGACCCTTGGCTAACACTGATCCAAAGGGAAAACGGGTACAAGCGCAAGTTGGAAAGCAATGAGAAAATGAAGGCCTTTCTGAAGGGGCAGGAGTGGAGGTAGGGTGCTCAGGTCACCTGTCTGCGTGTCTGTGACACTGTTCAGGCTCACTGGGCCAGGGCGTCAGTCACAGCCCATCTCTGAGCTGCCGTCTATCTAGGAGAGCTTTGCAGGCCTCGCCATCCTGTCCCCGTCTTGGGGCCTCCTTTCTATCCGCTCAGCCCTTCAGCCCAGGCCAGCTCCGCCTCGCCTCTGTTCTGGCTCAGTCTTGGGCTTTTCTAACTCCCATCAGGCCCTACCTGACTTGGCCACCTGCAACACGGAGACACGGTGGCTGTCACAGGGGTTTCAGCCAGGGGAGACCCGAGCAGGGCTTCCTAGGATGACTTGAGCTGCACGGGCAAGAATGAGTACGGGTGGAGGCAGCAGGCAGGGAAGACCTGCTGCGGTCCTGCGGACAGGAGCGAAGGAAGACTGCAGCCAGAGCGAGGGGCGGCCCCCCAGGCGGCCTTTCCAGGTAGAGCCCAGGATTAGCAGAGGAACTGAAAGTGTGGAATAAGGAAACAGGAGGGGGGTTCTGAGCTTTGGACTTGGGCCCCGGAAGTGAGGCTGGCTACGGGTTACCCTTTCTGAGCGGTGTGCCGCAGGCCGCGCTTCGGCGCGTTCTCTCACCTCTGCCTCCTTCGCTGCACAGCAGTTGCCTGCGCCTCTGGGCAGTACCTCGCCATCCTGGGTCGCGCAGGCGCGAAAGGCAGACCCCGCGCCTCGCAGGGACCCAGGCTCTGTCTAACTAAGCTTGCTGCGCTCAGGGCGGCCTCTGGAGCTCCCGGCCGGGGGAATTAGGGGCGTGGCTTGGGGAGGTTCGGGGGCGGGGCGTTGGGAGGCTCGGGCCCATAAAGAACGGGCACGGCGTTGCCAGGGGTTCTGATAGGTTGCGTCGTAAGGCTTGTCGCCTCCAGGCCCCGCCCCACTGGAAAGAAAGGAGCGAATCAGGTGACGCGAGCCCCAGAGGCCCTGGAGGCTGTGCCTTGGCGATTTCGGTCCCGGCGCCCTGGTCCTGAAGTTCTTGGGGTGGCGAAGGTAGGAACCCGGATCCGGATGGGAGTCGGGATCCCAGTCCGGCCCTAGCGTCTCTGTTCTTCGTGGGCGTCCTGGAGCCGGTCGCTGCCCCTTTCTGGCCTGCGGCGCTCGCCCCGGGACACCACAACGAGGAGGGTGTGAGATGTGTCGACCGAGACACCCTGCCTATTACTTCTGAAGGAAGAGTCCAGGCTTCGGGAAGTGATGGCTGGGCCGGGCTGGGGCAGTGAGCGTGGAGACCGGAGTGGCTCCACGCCCGGGTTAGGGCGGCAGGGGCAGCCAGGCAGCCGCGCCCCCTGTGTTTTCTAACATGTCTCATCCTCCAGGGTCCAACGCAGAAAGTTGGTAAGAGCAGATTTGGCCAGTTCCTGACACGCTGAGTCGAAAGCAATGCTCCTGAAAATAGGTACCTACGCCTACACGGTGGTTTAAGGAGGGTCCTTGGGGGGACCAGGGAGGGAGTTCCAGCTCTTTAGTGAGCGTCCCTCTTCCCTGATGTGGGTTGTGTGGGACATTGTCTTCCTCTTTCTCCTGGAGCTGACCCTGAAAATTGAACACACCCCACCCAGGAACCTGTTCCCCTCCAGAGTGGCTGCTTCCTTTTTTACCTGCTCTCCTGCGCTGCACAGGAGTATCACTATTTTATGTGATACCTATATGTCTGATTCCAGCCCTCTAAAGGGGCCATGGTAACTTACTCAGAAGGCAACTGTAGCCCCCGAGGGAAAGGACTCACCCAGGAGAGCAGGCCGGGTACAGGTCCACCCTGGCTGACCTGAGGCCTCCCTTGGGTCTATGGTGGCAGCAAAGGGTCCTGGACAGAGGCTTAGGACACCTGGTGCCTGGCATCCACAGTGAACTGTCAAGTTTTGTGTGTGATGGGGCAGCTGGCTGGGGGAGCAGGAAGGACAGGACTTTCCTTTGCTGATTTCCACCCAGCAAGTGAGGAGTTAGACCTCACAGGTTTCCCCCCACTTACTGTACCACATGATGCAGCTGCCACAGGAAGAGCCAGTGCCTGTAGACCCTAAGCCCCAAAGTCTGGTTTCCCCATTGGACAGGAAGCTTTGGCAGGGTTCAGCAGCAAGTGCACAGGTGGGATAAGAGCCATGGCTGTGGGAGTGGTCGGTTGCTTTCCTGTCTCCTATCCTTCCCACTCCAGTGCTCTTGCTGGCCCTTGTGGCCCAAGTGCTGGCGCTAGACAATGGGCTTCTGAGGACGCCCCCCATGGGCTGGCTGGCCTGGGAACGCTTTCGCTGTAACATAGACTGTGACCAGGACCCAAAGAACTGCATCAGGTAAGTGAGGACCACACCCATGGGACAAGCCTTGTCTAGGGCCTACAGAGTGGGGGCAGGAGAGGGTTCAGCTGGCAGAGAGGCCAAGGTTAGGCCCAGGTGATATCAGGAATATCAGATGCCTAGCCCTGTGGCCCACCTGGGGCCTCTATAGGGCAGGGACCTCGTGGAGTACCTGGCCTCCAAGATAAATGGAAGAAGACAATGTGATAGGGCAGGCAACCCCACCCCCACCCCCCACCTTCCTCTGCCTGGTGCTGTGCCTGCGTCTGGGCCCAGACCACTCACTTTACCCCAGTTTATGGCTCCTCACACATCTTTGCAGGGTCATTTACACTGTTACCTGGCTTCATCCTGGGCTGCCACCCGGACTGTTGCTTTTATGGCCCAGATGGACACTCAGCTAAAGAAAGGGTCAGAGGCAGGGCCAGGCTGGGCCACTGAGAGGCCTTACCTTCTGCCCCTTGCTAGTGAGCGCCTCTTCATGGAGATGGCTGACCGGTTGGCAAAGGATGGATGGCGGGATCTGGGCTACAACTACCTCAATATTGATGACTGCTGGATTGGCGGGCGCGATGCCAAAGGCCGCCTGGTGCCTGACTCCAAGCGCTTCCCCCACGGCATTGCCTTCCTGGCTGACTACGTGAGTCCCAGCCTGGCCCTGCCCCTTGGCCTGAGGGCCACACCCCACGTCCCTACCACCCTGCTTGGAGTGCATTTACACAGTTCCCTCTTGGCAGTGTCCCCCTTTCAGGAAATTGGCAGATGCACACCATTTGGCTCACTATAGTGAGGGCAGACACCATCTTTACCTGGCCGAACTTCAGGAAGGTTTCCTGGGGGACATGGTTCTGTCCTTTGAGGGTGTCCCAGAGGCTTCTAGGCATAAAGCAGCCAGCAGGAAATCATATGTGCTAAAATAAGGGCAGGCCAGAGGCACAGGCACTCAGAGAGCTGGGACCTCTGATCAGTGGGAGCTCTGAAGGTTTTAATGCACCTGAGTCAGACGGGTCTGCCCTGAGCTCACTGTCCCTGATCCCCCACAGGCTCACTCCCTGGGTCTGAAGCTGGGCATCTATGCAGACATGGGCAACCTAACCTGCATGGGTTACCCGGGCACCACACTAGACAAGGTGGAGCAGGATGCCCAAACCTTCGCCGAGTGGAAGGTGGACATGCTGAAGCTGGACGGCTGCTTCTCAAGCCGAGGGGATCGGGCCAAAGGTGAGTTCCACCACTGGCTGGCGCCATCAGGGGTGCCTCAGGAGCTTGGTCTGTGTGGGAATGTGGTGGCTTTCACAGTCCCCCTCACCCGGAAGCAGAAGGGATCATGGTTCCCAGTCCCTGGAATGGACTGGTACCACAGCCCACTGAGGAAGTTTTGAGGCTCTGGGTACAGGGAGGCATTTCCTCTGAGAAGCCTCAGTATCCTCATATGTAGAGGGGCAAAGTTTAAACTGAGGCCCCCCCACGGGGGTTGCGCTTTCTCCAGGGTACCCCATGATGGCTGCTGCACTGAATGCCACAGGCCGCCCCATCGCCTACTCCTGCAGCTGGCCAGCCTACGAAGGAGGCCTGCCCCCCAGGGTAAGCCCTTCTGTGTGTCCCCTGCCCAGGCCTCTTCGCCCTCCGGGTGCCAGGCTCAGGGACATGGCTGGCAGAGCCAGGTCTGCTCCCACTGCAGGTGTCCACATGTGGTTTTGTATGTGTACAGAGGGAGGATCACAGTAACTAAGAGCCGAGGGTCTGAAGAGGGGGAGGCCCCTGGCTGGTGGGCTGAAGGAGCTGCCATTGAAGGCAGAGAACTGTGTGTGCTGGAGCTGCAAAGGCGAGATGAGGCCAAGACGCTCACTGGGGCACCCCAGCCCCAGCTCACCTGAGCCTCGAAGAGTGGGCTCACACCGCCACACCTGAGTGCTGTGGCTGACAGAAGACACTGTGTGTGTGTGTGTGTGTGTGTGTGTGTGTGTGTGTGTGTGTGCACATACACACATGTGCATTCATGTACAGGGAAGGTCGTAGGTGCCTAGCCTGGGCCCACACCCTGGGTTTTATTCCCCCAGGCATGGAGGGCAGGGGAGATTCCTGGCATGCGCATGTATGGAGGGGGGGCCCGGGTAGCCCCCTAGCAGGGCCACCCTCACAGAGGGCTTCCTGGTCTTAACCAGGCTTGGGAACCTGTACTCTTCCCCCTTCCCACCCTCTTGTCTCCCATGGGGCCTCCTAGCCCTAGCAGCCCCAGGTGTCGGGATGTGACTCTGGTGTGGACTCTGCCTTCTCCGCCATCCAGGTGGACTACAGTCTGCTGGCTGACATCTGCAACCTCTGGCGCAACTATGATGACATCCAGGACTCCTGGAAGGACGTGCTGTCTATCCTAGACTGGTTTGTGCTCCACCAGGACATCCTGCAGCCGGTGGCTGGCCCTGGGCACTGGAATGACCCAGACATGGTAATCAGCATGGAAGAGGGATATCCCCAGCCCTGGGCTGGATGGCCCTGCTTCCCGCTGCCCCGGGCTCTCTTCCTTCCCTGCTATTTGCTGCCAAGTGCAAGACCAGCATCTGAAATGTGTCCCTGAGTGGGGTGCGTCCGGGTGCGTGAGACAAGCCATAGAACAGTGTTTACATGTGGCTTCTGGGCCCTGCCCCCCTTTCTGTCAGAATGTTCAGAGGAGGGGCCCCCAGAGGGCCCATTGTTCAACACCCTGGCCCATTCTGATGTCTCTTAAAGCCAGAGAGCGCATTCTGCAGCACCCATCCACTCCTGAGAGGAGGCCATGCCTGTTCCTGTCGCCTTGCCCTTCCTGGCACCTGGCTGCCCTCTTTGTGTCTGCCTCTGGCTCCCCCTTCCAGTGCCCTGTAGCCCACCATACAGCAGAGTCTGTCCAGTCTTCCCTGGCCGCCTCTGCACAACTGACCCTCAGTCCTGCTTTAGCCCTTGCGTCCTGTTTCAGTTCGGGCCCTGGTGACTTTTACAGTAGTTCTGTGGATGGCTAGTTAACAAGCGTGCACCGGCAGAGATGCTTATCATTTGTGCAAATACGATAAGCCAGCGTGGAGGAGCAGAGCCTGCCTGCTGTGGAGTTCTAGCTCCAGCTCTGCCACTTGCCATTTATTCTGGGCCAGTTACCATTTGTGTGTGAGTGTGTGTGTGTGTGTGTGTGTGTGTGTGTGTGTGTGTTGTGTGTGCTGTATGTATGGTCATTAGGAAAATGAGAATAGTAAGAATAGCTACTTTACATAGGACTACTTTGATTTATTTATTTAT